TAATGGCATTTGGTGGTGAGCATTATTTTGAAAATCTGCCTCCTCTTTGTCTTCCTCTGCAGCTTGTGCGGGAGTAGGAGGGGCAGAGGGTGTGTGTCCCCGCGCGTCACTGGAGGGAGTGTCAGGGACATGCGCTGCCTCAACACTCAATGTGGCTCTCTGGATTTTTTCAAACTCGCCCAAAAAACAGACACAGTCTTGCAGAAATGTCTCACATTGTTTAAGTTTAGCTTCTGTTTTGTGCCTCTGTAACAAACTCGCTCTACTATGGCAGAAACGTGCCTTTGAAGTCAAGCGAGCAGCCTGTTTAATAAACAGTTTTACAGCCCCATCTGCTGGTGGCGCCTCGTCATAGGACCCAAACAGACTTCTTTCGCCCATACTCTCACACCAGCGTAAAAATCTATCTTTTTCACTACAATGTTGGTTTAAACTCTGTGTGCCAAGCCATTTGTTCAACAATTGATACAAAATAGCACCCAGTGTGCCTGATTTGCAATTTTTTTAGTCCTGAATTACATCACAGTCAGCCATCATGAAAAATTAATATGCCACATGTGACGCTGTCCGTTTATGAGAGACTCTTGGCCCGGTGGAAACTGATCAAATTGTGAAGCTTCTACAGCAGGCTAATTTCTGGGGGTTAATTCTCAATCAATTCCACTGTTTTATCTCAACAGGACAAGCAGTCACCCTAAACTGATGCAATTTTTCCCACTAATCCTATTTCCCACCCGGAGCCTTACACTGCTGTACAAGGCATGTTAACTCCACAACAAATTCTCACAATGAACCTATTGTCCAACATGATATGCTTGTGGAAAAACGTTTTAATTAGCCCTTTGTACAGTTATCCCACCCACACATTGAGAACAGCAAAACTTTCCCTGTGCCTGTTATCACATGTGTGAAATGTATCAGAGAGCATCTGTTTGGTTGAGATGAGTCTCCGCTTCTGCTCCAACCGGAGGGATATTAAAAGGAAATGGAAAAATTCAGGAGACAACTGCTACTCCACAGAAATCCACTTATAAAATGTGAATTTTTCGTCCCTTATTGGTATCAAATTCTGTGATCAACGGTACTCATTTACTCCCCCTCAAATGAGACTATGTGCTTTTGTTAACTGTACATGACAATGAACCTACCAGCACAGCATTCAAAAACAGAAAAAAAAAGTCTGTTTTATTAACCTTACTGTTTTGGATCCAATTTAGAACGTTGAGAGTGGGCAGCCCACACATCAACTTTAATTTAGAATTAACTCAATGTGCGGAGTTTATGTATAAACCAAAGGTTCCGCTTACCTATAGTTTCTGGCCGACCCGTTGATGTGTGGGACTGTTCACAACTACTACTGAAACCAGGGGGTCACACTCTCATCAGGGAAACCAGTCAAATCAGGACCGCATATCGGATTTCCAGCTCAGGCTGGCACAGGATTCGTCTGAAGAGTTCAGCTGGCTCACGGGTCAAATGGCACCAAGTTGTAGGTCTTTGGTTTTTGTTACCACTGCTAACGCTGAGAGACGAGACAGTCCAAGTAACTTCAAAACAGTGCTGATTTAGTCAAAGGATCACAGGTAAAATTAACATTACACGCTCAGGTATCTTGCACTTCCAAACTGCACGCAGGCAGATGTAAGATGAAAGACCCTAAACCCACCAGACCTATACATTATATCCCCTCGGTTGGGCTAGCCTCATACTACACAGAAACGTCAACCAAGACATCTCTGTTGCCAGCTTTGCAGCTGGCCATAGCAGTAGTCAAAACATGAAGCAAATCAATGTGTGTGTGTCTGTTGATTAAGTGGTGTGTAGCTAAAAACATTCTCACACGACCTCTAGTAACATGTCGTGATATTAAACATAAAAACATATTATGGCTAAGGCTACAGTTATACACGTCATAATAATAATATTAAACATCCTGTCTGCTGACAGTCATCAACTTTTCTCTCTAGTTATCCTTGACCAGATGTACCCTGTAGAAACTCATAAGCATGCCTAAGCATTTAACAGTCTAACTAGACATCCTATCTCCACTAAACTTTTCTAATACATAAAGTATCTATCCAATATCTATCTGACTAAAAATACCTAACAATGGTATAAAATAAGAAAATAGATATCACTCATGTCTGTGTAACTATGGAGCTACAATTTGTAGGCCATTAGTTTAGCATAAAGACTGGAAGCAGGGGGAAACAGTTAGCCTACACAGTACACACACATTTTGCTATAATACAAGTGTTAAAAGAAATGTTTTTTCTTTATTTTCATGTCTTCTGTGCACAAATCACAGTCAGTTGTTAAAGGAGATTGTTGGCCATCGAGGGACTAAAACACCACCCAGCTGGATAAATACCTCCTGCTTACCATCAGTCAGACAGAACTGATGAAGCCTCTTGGATGAGAAGTGAAATGTCTTTCAACTAAAACTATGTCCAGATGCCTTCTTCTAAGTTTTTTCAGTAGTCTGGCACAGCATCATGCTTCCAGCCATTATATGCATATTTAAGACCGTGTTCCCATAGTTGGTTTTTCTTTACCAACTCATGATAAAAACATCTGTCTCCTTAGCTTATAAATGCTCCATTAGGTTCAGTTAGTAGCTAACTTTGCCTGCTATTCGATGCTACAGTATATATGATTTAATAGAAAACATGCACATAGGGAAGTATTTTAATCTGATTTTTAGGTGTGGACTTGTGAGGTGAACGTTGTTCCTGAACTTTGCACTACAAACCTACAACAACATGTTCTTCCAGGACTACTGCACAACTGCCAGGATCTACCACTTTCTGTTACAGCTTTTGTATATAAACACACTAATGTCATCCCACCCTGCCAGAGTCCTGGATGATCTTGACATTCTCCTGGCCAAATTTGTCAGAGTAGAGCTTCAGGAGCCTCTGGGAAATCTCGGACAGCGGAGTGAATTTTGGCTGTTTGTAGATGTATTCATTTCCATCCTCATCCTCAAAGAAGCCCTGCAAAAGAGAGGGAAGGGCATCAGAGATGAGGGCCTGGGCGTGAACTCTGTTGCTGTGAGCTGCTCGATCACTTCCAGCAATCATCAAAAAGATGGCCTTGTAGTTCAAATCCAGGATCCATATGTCTTTTTTTACATGCTAATATGAAAACACTGTTGAACCAACCGTGTTCAAAAATTGAATAGTACAAATGTGAAAGAATAAGAACAATTATCTAAAGAAATTAACTGTTGAATAAAATACACTTTTTATATACATTTGAAGATAAGAGTAACCAATGAAAAAAAAACCAAACTGAGAAAATTTATAGTAGCATGCAAATATAAAAAGTGGGGGTTAACATGCAAATATCATCTGTTCACAGCTGGAATTATACTATATATTTAGGGTGATATTCACTCATAACAGCTACTGCTCAGTCTATGCAAAAGTATACAAATGAGTGTGTGTGTGGAAACAGGTGGGGGCTGATCAAGGCAAAGGTTAATGAGGAGGTTACACAGAGCAACACCACATAATAGAATTATGGTAAAAGAGACTACGTGCTAGCTTTTGCAACTCAGTACAACACAACAGCTTTGGGGTTAAAACTACAGCAGTAACACTATAAATACAGCAACTAAACCCCCACACACTTATGAGGGAGAGGAGAAAAGAAGAGAAATCTCTATTAAAAAAAGGAGTTTTAGCAGGGGGGAGAACCAAAAAGCAAGAGACACAATCATGCTTTCATTAAGAGTTTTGGCAGTTTGGGCATTTTTTAATTCAACATCTTAACAACTGCGGTTCTTTTTTGTCCTCTTGAAAATGTGGCCCGTTACCTGTCCAAAGAAGGCCACTTTGAAGTATGTGCCCAGCAGCCTCTTGCCAGTGTGCATCACCTCCATGACTTTAGTATAGGCACGGTGGAGGGTGCCATAAAGGTGAGTCAGTTTCTATTCGACACGACAGCAAAATCAACCAAGAACAGAAAGAGTGGTTGTTTATTATAATGTGCCTTTATCAACTGGAAAGTGTAAGCAATATTAATGAACAAATGTTTGTATCAAGTTTGTATAGTCAGCTTTTGAGTCATGATTTTGACAGTCGTGCATTTGATTTTTAATACACCTTTGCTTACGGTACCTCAAAGTCTCTGCGCTGTTCATAGATGGGAATGATGAGCCTGTACACATCAGCGATGAGCTCGTAACGCTCCGCCTTCCAGAGGCCATCAGCACACTCTTCCAACAGCTCCATCAGCACCTCCTGAACAAAGACACACAGATACATGTCAATAAACCTTTGTCCCCTCTCTGCAGTTTCAGTGTAGAATATTTAATTGTTGCAAAGAGGGACATTTCTGCTTGCTCTTGTTTGTTTTGGAGGCTGCAGTGAACATAAACTGAGCCTAGTGTTCCTGCAAAGACAGCAGACATGGGAGGAAATGGACTCATCATCTGCTTTCTTTTTATTGGGGGATGACAATGAGTTGAGCTCATAAAGCGAAAAGCTTCTTAGAACAGATGGAAGGAAAAAGCACCTTTCATTGCCTCCAGAGCTGTTGACCGAATCGTAAAAGCTCAAACATTCTCTGGTCAGCACTTTAAAATTCACTGCATTATCAGTGTGCCAGAAGACCTGGTTTCAGGCCTCTGTGTCAACAAGCCTCTGTCCCTGCTGGAGTGTCCATGAACAACATCGTGAATGCTGAACCTGAGCTCTTGTCAGATTTCTCAATAATGTTCCTTGTGCCAGGTCAGGAGCAATACATGTACCAAGCCCTGTGACAAAGTCTACAGTATTTTTATTTCAACTATTAACTGCAATGAGCAACTGATATTCCATGAAGAGATAAAAGCTGTTCTAAACAGTCATTATGTAACACGATACCAATGAGGAGCTAAGAAAAACATCCTAAATGCTTGGTCAACAGAAGAGAACTGTCAGACACTCCAAGTGTACAGCATAGTGTATAGTAGGGCTGTAGACCAACTAAAAATTTTGTCAGTTGATTCGGCTGTTCAGTGCAACTATTCGACGATTCATTCTATTTTTTATATAATGTCAGAAAATCAACTGGCATGAATTTCACTGATGATTTCAACTACATTAACATCAGTGTTTAGGTTAAAGGTTCAGGTTCACTAATGTGGTCTATTTTGTTGTCCAGTGAGCGTGCATTGACCATAATGAGGGATAGTATCGCGGGTCTATGTTGGCTAGCTGCTAGCCTAGCCTGG